GTTGGGGGCGGGTGGCGGGGCGCCCGCCTCGGTTTTTGCAGTGGGAGCTCAACCCCAATACAAGACAGCGGAGAATCCACGTGGATTTGGGAGTGGGGGGGAAAACCTGCTCATTTTTTGGTCACCAAATGCAAGTCCTGGCACTGTGTGCTTGGAGAGTTTTTCACTGCAAAGAGGGCACCTGCATTGGTTTTGCAACAGGAGCTCAACCCAATACAAGACAGCAGAGAATCCGCATGGATTTGGGAGTGGGGAGGAAACCTGCTTATTTTTGTCCGCTGAGCACGAGCCTTGGCAACCCCCACTCAGAGGGTTTGGGCAAGGAGGAAGGGGCTTGGCTCAGTCTCGGTTTTGCAGTGGGAATTCAACCTCACTACGAGACATCAGAGAACCCACCCAGGCTTGGGATGTGGGGGGAAAACCCGCTTATTTTTTGCTGCTGAGTGGGAGCCCTGGCACCATCCCCTCGCAGGGTTTTTAGCAGGTAGGGGAGTATCCAGGTCCCCAGCTTGTCCCGGCTTTGCAGCAGGAGCTCAACCCCACTACGAGACATCAGAGAATCCACTTTTTTTTTTTTTCTTTGGTGGGGCTGGGTCGGAACGCGCATATTCCAGTGTCCGCATATTCCCGCCACGGCACCCACTGCCTCCTCTTCCCACAGAGCCACGCAACAGCACCGACGAGCGCATGGTGTGCCGGGAGATCCGGCGCAACTCGGCCGGCTGCCTGAAGATGCGGGATGAGTGCGAGAAGTGCCAGGAGATCCTGTCCTTGGGTGAGTGCTGGAGGGTGCGTGGGTGGGTGGGTGGATAGATGGACAGTTGGATGGGTGGGTGGGTGGATGGGGGTTGGATGGATAAGAAGGTGGATGGGTGATGAGTGGATGGGCGGGTGGGTGGACGGATGGATGGATGAAGGTTGGATGGATGGATGGACGATTGGGTGGGTGGATGGATGGATGGATGGATGGATGGATGGGGATTGGATGGATGGATGGGGGGGTGGATGGATGGAGGTGGATGGGGATTGGATGGATGGATGGGGATTGGATGGATGGGGATTGGATGGATGGATGGGTGGATGGATGAGGGTGGATGGACGATTGGGTACGTGGATGGATGGATGGATGGATGGGGGGGTCGATGGATGGATGGATGGACAAGTGGACGAATGGACGGATGGATGGATGGACGGACGATTGGGTGGGTGGATGGATGGATGAGGGGTAGATGGATGGGTGGCCGGATGAATGGACAGGTGGATGGATGGGGGATGGATGGATGGGTGGACAGGTGGACGGATGGCCGGTTGGATGGGTGGATGGATGGATGGACGATTGGGTGGGTGGATGGATGGATGGGGGGTAGATGGATGGACAGGTGGACGGATGGATGGGGGATGGATGGACCATTGGGTGGGTAGATGGATGGATGGGGGGGTAGATGGATGGATGGCCGGATGAAAGGACAGGTGGATGGATGGGGAATGGATGGATGGGTGGATGGCTGGATGGATGGCCGGACGCCGAGATGCCGACCCACTCCGTGTCCCTGCAGACTGCGCGGATGCGGACGCGGAGCAGGGGGAGCTGCGGGAGCAGCTGGAGGAGGCGCTGCGCCTGGCCGAGCGCTTCACGCGCCGCTACGACGAGCTGCTGGGCGCCTTCCAGGCCGACATGCTCAACACCACCGGCCTCCTGGAGCAGCTCAACCGCCAGTTCGGCTGGGTGTCCCGCCTGGCCAACGTCACGCAGAGGGACGACGGCTTCCTGCAGGTCACCACGGTGCGTCCGCAGGCTCCCGGGGCGGTTCTGAGGGCTCCTGGACCCTGTGCAGGGCTTTGCACGAGGTTCTTCCTGAAGTTTGGCACGGTGCTTTGCACAAGACTTTGCAAGGGGGCTTTACAGGGTGCTTTGCACAAGACTCTGCAGGGCACTTTGCAGTGGGGCTTTGCACAAGGCTCAGCCTGGGGCTCTGCACAGGGCTTTGCCAAGGGCTCTGCGCGAGCATCGGGATGGGGCTTGGCACAGGGCTCATCACGAGGCTCATCCTGAGGCTCTTCACGCTGCTTTGCACAAGGTTTTGCAAAGGGGCTTTGCACAGGGCTCATCCTGGGGCTCTGCGCGGCGCTTTGCAAAGGGCTCGGCACAGGCACCGGGGCAGGGCTTGGCACAGGACAGCGCGGGGCTGGGTGCAGGGCTTGGCACGGGGCTCTGTGCAGGGTGCCAGGCTCTGCACGGGGCTTTGCACAGGGCTCATCCCGAAGCTCTGCGGGGGCCTTTGCATGGGTGTTTTGCACGAGGCTGCGCAGGCCTTGGCACCGGGCTCATCACGAGACCCTGCGGGAGGCTTTGCACAAAACTCTGTGCAAGGCTTTTCATGGGGCTCTGCACAACGCAGGCCTTGGCACGGGGCTCATCACGAGGCTCTGCACGATGCTTTGCACAAGCTCACACAAGGCTCTGTGCAGGGAACAGGGCTCTGCATGGCACTTGGCACGGCCCTTTGCAATGGGGCTTTGCATAGGGCTCACCCTGAAGCTCTGCATGGGACTCTGCACGGCCTTTTGCAGCGGGCTCTGCACAAGCAGCCGTGCAGGCTGTGCACGGTGCTTTGCTCAGGCTCTGCACCAGCGTGTACAAGGCTCTGCACAGGGCACAAGGATCCCTGCAGGGTTTTGCATGGTGCTTTGTACAGGCTCTGCACAAGCATGCACAAGGCTCTGCACAGGCAGGGCACGAGGATCCCTGCAGGGTTTTGCACAGGACGCTGCACGGGGGCTCTCAGAGGGCTCTGCATGAGGTTTTGCAGCACACTAGGGACCCGCATTCACCCTCGGTGGCCCCTCGCCGATGCCAGGCCACCCACGGGGGCCGCCGGCACCAGGAAAGTGGGTCATGCGCAGAAAGCAGCGATTGTGGCGCGCGGGCCGGGCGCCAGGACGCGCGGGACACCAGGACACGCGGGGACGAGACGTGCTCTG